ACAGAGGGGGATCCCTACACATGTCCTAGAAGGAAGGGAATATTATTAGCAAAACTTGCCAGCACATGTTCTTCAACTTCATCGAAGACTTCTGAGCTGTTCTTATGAACAGGATCACAGACTGGTACATGTTTGGTCAGTCTTCACCTGGATCATCTTGTGTGTTCTCAAGTTCCACTACTGAAAGGACATTGTCGATCACTGGCTGTCATCACCAAGGGTAATTGATCATGTGCACACTCTCAGCTCCCTAGAATTTCACCACTGAAGTTGCTTATACACCTTTGCTTTCATTATGGTCACACACACAATAGCTCATACCTCTGCAGTTTCACTTTGTACCAATAGTCCATCTCTCCTGTAGCTGGACGTTTTATCATCTGCATCTAGAGATGGGAGCTTTAAAGGCATACAACCTGGGCAACTGCATGGAGCCATGTGCTTAGAAATTCTTCGCCCTTCCTTAGTTTAATTGAATGAAGTTGCCATCTTGAAAAGCCTACTAATTTTTTTTAACAAGGAGTATGGCATTTTAATTTTACACTGAGCATTGCAAATCCTGCATCTTTCTGTCCAGAAATCAAAATACTTGAAGGTGAATTTCTGTCAAGCCCTGTCTGTACACCTTGCATGGGAACCACTGAAAAATGGTTCTGAGTATCAGCTTGGGCCACATGATTATTTTTGCCACCATTCTCTTGGCAGTGTAACTATCACAAGCCCCAAAATACTTTTGACATGTCATTATAGGTAACTGATTTAACCAAAAGTTAAGCTTTGACCTTGACTCCACTTTATCATCCTATTACCAAATGTATAGATTCACCCTGATCCTCCAAAGCTTCTGGAGTTTATAAACACCACCTACCCAAACACTGGTTCAAAATTTTCTCATGCCACGGACTTTATGTGTTATGTCAAATTTAACATTTTCTTCAGCACAATTTGATTAAGGATATGCAGAGCTGTGATAAATGTCAAGCCTTATCATTTCATTATTAAACACTCATACCAAAGCCTGTATGTGAGTCAGTGTACAGGTCATTGGCTCCTACCTGAACAGCAAAACTAGTGATTGAACATCCAGAAGGCAGGGAAGTCATTTTCTTAGCCACGACAACTTTGAAACAGTTCTCTTCAAGGTGCACGTCAAAAGAGTTCATACTGCATTTATCTCAGGACATCCCATCATGCCTTAAGCCATTTACGTTACAACTGTCATTTTCTACCTATCCATATTGGATCTTCACATAGAGTTGTCACAGGTTCTGATATAATAATTGGCCACTGACTCTCCAGAGGCCTGAGATCAAAAGTGAGCTCATCACACACTGTTAACTGGTATTAAAACATTCTCTTGTGGGGGCAGGGGTGTAGCACCATTGGTACAGTGCTTATCTAGCATGAACAAAGCCCTCCCTAGCATTGGACAAACCAAGCATGGTGGTCCAGGCCTATAATCCCAGCACTGGTCGGTGGAGGCAGGAGGATCAGAAGATCAAGATCACCCTTGGCTACAAAATTTAACTTTAAGGGCAGCCTGGGTTATATGATACCTTTTCTTTAAAAAAAAAAAAATTTCTCTTAGACTGGGGATGTTGCTCTATGGCAGACCACTTGCCTTGGCCCCAGGTTTGATCCTCAGTGCCAAAAAAAGGAAGACAATCACTTGTGAAGACCCCCCCAAAACAACTCAAGAGCTAAGTACGGGGTATTTGTAAGAGTGTGTGTGCGCGCACGTGTGTGCGTGCGTCTGTGTGTGTGTGTGTGTGCGTCTGTGTGTGTGTGTGTGTGTGTGTGTGTGTGTGTGTGTGTGTGTAGAGCAAAGAAAGGAAATTGGTAAAGGGTGACCACGGAGGTGTCATCCTATTTACCACGACTCACAGATGAGGCTCCCATCCCATTTCCCTCTTGCTCTTCCTGAATTCACATCTAGAAAATGGGTTTCAAACATGATCTTTATTTAGTCGCCCAGTTCCTAGGGAATATTAATTTAATAACCTCACCCAAATTCCCATTTGTTTCAAACCAATAGCATAATCCAGCCACAACTGTACAGTATGTGACAAAAAGTGCTAGACAGAACTGGCTGCAGCCAGGCTGAGGCTATGGCGGCCCTTCCGTCGCTCGGCATCCAGTGGGACAGACCTCCTGACCACAGCCATCACCCTGCCTGGGTACAGTCTGCATCTTCACGGCACTCAATACAGTAAACATTACATGGCTTCTGCAAAAATAACAACGTCACAGCCCATAGGCACTTGGGCAACACCTAATTTGCAGGTACTCGCTGATCCCTCTCTTTCTATTGTTCATGAACTTAGGAAAGCAAATACTAAAGTTTAATTTCTTATTTTGAAATTTTTGCCTGTCCACATTCATAAATTCTACAGGCTTTTTTCTAATTCCTTGGTGGGAAATAAAGATCTATGCAGTCACCTTGGAAATCCTGCAAATGCACTTCGACTTACTCCCTGTATCTACACAGAACCTATGGTCCTTCCTTCCACAGCCCCACCCAATGGTCTGGCACTTTCTCCATGCAGAGAACACAATCTTTGACTCTCTCCCTCTAAACATTTTCAAAACTTGACAATTACATATTCCATTCACTTAATAAATATTTCTCAAGCACTCACTGTTTGGTAGATACTGAAGGACACAGATTTGCTAGTACCCAGAAGTCAGTGTGAATGCAGTCTTTGACTGGCTCTGAGCTTCCTGAAACTCAAGTGCCCAGCCTGTACCTCTGCCTTGTTCCAAACTCCCTATTTGTTGACTAAATGCACTGCCCAGGCTTCATTCTCTAAACAGGGCCTTCTAATTAACAAATACATTCCAAAGTCAAAGGGCTAAGCCAGGCATGCTACCAGTTGAGCAGAACTTGCTAACAGAATCCCTCTGATAGATAAGCTGCTCGGAGGCATAGTTCCTCCCGCTGATGGACATCTTGCCAAGTTGGGAAATGTGAAAGGCTTGCTTTCAGAAATGGTCACTGGCTCTGTTACAATTTGCCGTGGCACAGGTCTGCTTGCACCAGGGGCTGACAAGAGCTTATTAACGCCAAAAACGCATCTCTCCTTCTCAAACCTCTGGCAGCTAAACGTCACAGATATGACTATCTTGGTCTCTAGTGGGAACAACACTGGTCTCATCTTCCTAGAATGCAGCTAGGTACAAATCTCCAGGAGCAACAATTCACCTTTTCAAATTGCAGAGCCTAGGAGTGGCAGAGAGAGTGCAGCTGCTACAAAACAAGGGAATTACAGGCAGAAACTGTGCAGAGAACAAGGAGCTGCTGGTGTTAGCTGAAAATTTCTTCTGAGCAGGGGCCATGAATAGTCTACAGACTGCAAGGCCCGGTACAGCACCTAATACATTTTTAAATACAAGTTCCAAAAGCATGATTCTACATTAGTACAATTCAAGTCCTTGGATATACTGGAGAAGAATGAATTCAACAGCTTAAAAACCTTTTGCTCAAGAATGAGAAATGGATTTCACTGTGGTTGATAAGAAGCCATATAAAATTTGTGTTTAAATGGTTATTTTATTCAGAGTTGTTGGTTTTTAATGATGCTATGATAATTTGCTGCTAAAGCTTTTTTTATCTATAGTCACCCAACATTAATATTTATTTTGTTCATTTAATTTTAAAGTATTCTTAAATTAAAGCTCTTACAAATATTCCTCTGCTGCCGAAGGCACAACCACAAAAAAGATCAGGGAAAGCTTGATGGGTGTTAGATAGCTGAGCCCTAGCTTAGTAAATATGACACTGGAAACTACTTCAGTTAATTAAGAAATAATCATTCCAATACAACTCATTTTAAAGCCCAAGTGCTTCTTCATCTTGCTTGGATCTCTTACCAGTGCTATAGATTTCACCTTGTGTTAAAATATTTCTCATGCATGTAACATCTTTTCCTTTAAAAAAAAAAAAAAAAAAAAAAAAAAAAAGGTCCTCAGGATTTAACCTACATGCATTGCACTGGCTTTTGGAAACCTCACAATAAATTACAATAAAATAAAGCTGTATGGATAATGAACTTGCACCGAATTTAATATTACAATATACAACTATACTGTTTTTCCCATTTGAGCTTCATAACTTATGATGTGACACTATAGAGAATACTTCAGCACAATGAGTTCAGGACATTGCAATATCATAACAACTGTTGGGAAATTCAATGGTTTTTCTCCCTGGAAAATACCAGAGCTCAAAATCCTACACACTAATCCATTTTTATTTCCTCTTCCTCATAATTCATTTTCATAACCAAAAGAAGCTCTTGGCTAAAGCCCTACACTGTCTGCAACATGTTATTTGTTTTACAAATTTGCTTTGAGAAAATAAAGAAAGCAGCATATCCCGGGGGTCATCCCAAGTAAACTATTACAAATTCCTGTCCTTTTACATTAGTATGGATGGGGAGTGAGGAGGAAGAGGGAAGCCTGTGATTGCCTTCCAGTTCTGTTAAAAGTTCTGTTTTCAAATGCCTCCAGATACTGAGTCAGAGGCAGAAACACTGCAGACACTTCCAACCACTCTGCTAACCAGAGGTTGATACCATCACCAACAATTATGGTCACTCCTTTTTGAGACTTGTGTTATAGTTATGAGTACTTTTTTAAATTACAAACTATTAAAAACTCCTTTTTCTGAACCAACTTCAGAACAAGGACACTTCAGAACAAGGACACTGTGCTTTGAGGTTCCCTGTCTCAACTGGATACAGTAGTAATCAAACCAAAAGCCTTCAAACCCTCAAGGGCTCCCTTCCTCCTTTCTCTATGCAGCCCTCAACAGGAGAGTAGTGTATGCTTTCTCTCCCACTGCTGTTTGGTTTTGGCTGTAGAACAGTGAAGATCTGCTCCATTCCTGGGCACCTGGTAGGCTGTGATTTACATGTGAGAACACAACTCTCAGTTTACCTACAAAGACAAGTAACACCAGCAAATCCAGAGTTAACAGAGGCCAGTATAAAAAAGAACAGTATTTATTATCCTCTTTATTAATACTTACATGTAACCTTTGCTGTTTACACAAAAGCCTACCTCCGAGGAATGTCTCCTTGGTTTATCAGCCCAGTGGGGCTTTCTGCTCCTGAACCACTTTTCCCCTTCTCCACCCACCCACCCGACATCCAAATTACTTTTACACATTCACAGATACCACGAAAATTTTGTAAACAAGATTTGGGTTACTGGAACTTGATTTCATCAACATTCCACTTTGAATTGGAAGGTGGGTGTGGGAAAGAGGACAGGAACTAGGAGATTGGAAGGGAAGAGAGGCAGAGGACAGGAGGGGCAATTCGTCAGAACTTTCAAGTCTTGCCTTTTCTGAGGGAGTGTGTGTGTGTGTGTGTGTGTGTGTGTGTGTGTGTGTGTGTGTACACGCATGTGTGTGGCTGTTCCTTGAAATTCACTGACTCAAAACATCGACAGCAAGTGCCCGCGTGGTTATTTATATTATATATCTATAATAGAATATGTGGGCTTCCTCAGCTTGGGTCTGGGCTGTGTTTGTTTAAACACAACACCATCCTTTTTGTGGGTGTCTCCACAGGGTGTCGGATCTCCTGGGAACCCCCTCTCAAAGCTGGGGCTTCCGTAGTAGGGTCTTGCTGAGGTCTTTGACCTCCTCGGGGCTGTTGACCCGTTCGTAGCCCAGCACTGCCATGGGCTGGTAGCAAAACTCCTCCACCTGTTTGATCTGCTGGAAGGTGAGCGCGGTCCGCCAGGCATTGGCGGCCTGAGTTGCATTTCGGGCAGACACCACGAATGGTTTGGAGGAGGAACCCGAACCGCTGGTCATGTTCAGGGCAAACCGCTCCATTTCAGGACTCACCAGCAGCCCCACAAAGTCGTACACCCTCCGTAGTGTCTTAACCGGGTCTCCCACCAGGTCCTCGTACCGCACCACCAAGTAGTGTCCCTGCAGCCAGTCAGGGGGCTGCAGGGCCGTCTGCAGAGTTTTGGCCATACTGTTGCAGATGACCTCCATCGCGCCGAGCGCATGGTAGTCTGCTGGCCCGCCCATGCCCTCTTTCTTGGCACCCAGCTTGTGGCCAGCGGCTTCCAGGAAGGGCATGCGATGGGCTCTCGGGTCCCGGCTTCGCACCACCTGCAGGCTTTCACGGATGAGGCCGTGGCGAGAGCGAATGCGAGAGCTGGCAACTGCTCGGGGATCACGCACCAGGTGAATGACCTTGAGGTCCAGGGCAGGATCTCGAAGCAGCGGCGCCAACACTGCCACATCGAAGACGCGCACGCCCTTGATGACCAAGGTGCGGTATTTACGGCACTCCTCCTCGAAGCGTGCCAGGCGCTGAGGAGGGCACTTCTTGCACACGCGGTCATCCACCAGCCCGACGACCTCCTTGCGGTAGGCGGGGCAGAGAGGCGACGAGCACACCACCTTGTTGGTGGCTGCACCAAAGATGCCCAGCGTGGTGAGGTTGCGCCCCCCACTGCCCGCGGGGCTATAGAGCTGGAAAACGGAGAGATCGCAGCGGTAGAGAGCGCTCAGCATGTCCCGCGCTGCCCCCTGCAGGGAAACTGCATCCCCGGGGTACAGTTTTTGCCACACGTGCCACACAGGCTCGTAGAGGAAGAACACCTCGGGATTCTGGTTGAAGAGTTCACCAAAGAAGGACGAGCCCGAGCGCCACGTGGTGAACACATACACCAGTTGCCGCTTGTCCCTAGCACCCCCAGTGCCTCCTGTGCGATTGCCTGGAGGGGCCGCAGCCCCCAAAACCCCAGCCGCGGCTGCGGGAACTGGCCCCACGCCAGCGGCCAAAGGACGGTGCGGGGTGCGGGGGTCCACGCGCGGGTGAGCGCGGGCTGGCGCGGCAGGCGGCGACCCCGACCGTCCCCAGCCGCCCCCGGCCGCCCCCGCCGCGGCAGCCAGCGGCGCGTCGGGGTTGCACTGCTGCAGCGGCTCCTTGTGCCACTTGTAGTCCAGGAGGTTGAGCATCGTGAGCACCAGCAGCAGCGCGTAGCCCGCGCACAGCACCAGCGCCTTCCTGCGGAACACCTTCATCCCGAGTGGGGACGCAGGCCAGCGGCGTCCTGCGCGCCGGGGCCACGGCGGGAGCAGGGCGCGCGGCGCTGCTGCAGGCGCTGCCGGGAGCAGCCGGGGGAGCGCGCCCGGGGGCAGACCTCGCGGCGAGCTGCGGCTCATCACAGGCACAGCCGGGACCGGAGACGCGGCGGACGCGGCCCTGCAGCCCGGGAGGGGTACGCGGAGGGCCGGCTGCGGGCGCCCGAACTGGGGCCGCCGATCCGAGGCGGGCGCGGCGGCAGAGGCGGCTGGTCCCCGGCACCCGGGACCGACTCTCCCATGGCAGCGGTTCGGAGAAGTACCTGTAAGAGGAAGCGAAGTGAGAGGGTGACCCTCGGCTGGTCGCCCAGTGAGTGCCTCCTCCGCCCGAACAACGCCCACCCCCAGCCTAGGGGCTCCCCACTCACCTGGAGCGGCGGGAGCGTCCCCGGAGCCCTGGCCGGCGGACTGTCCGGCTAGCACTCTCCTGGGTTTCTCTCCGGCTCTCTTCTGCTGGGGGTTGCCGAGCCTTCGATGGAGCCGCTGGACTCCGCAGCCCTAACCCCCAACAGACTTTCCCGGCAGCCGGCGCCCTGAAGCTCGGGAGGGGAAACTTTCACCCGGCCCGGAGCCCTGCTCTGCGCTCCAATGAGCGCCGTGCGCCCGGGCCCCAACGACGCCTCCTCCAGTCTCTCCGGACCGCAGCTTCCTTCCCGGCTCCGGGGGACGAAGCAGGCTAGCGGCGACGGTGGGGGTGGCTCATAGAGGACCCAGCTCCCGGCAAAGCGGCTCTCCATCACTCGCGCTGGGCCTCTGCACATAGAACCTTCCCATCTCTCCGCCGCCGGCGGATAGGGCGCAGCGCGGCCCCGCAGCGGCGGCTGCTTCTTCCATCACCCAGAGGATGCCCGGGCGGCCAGCGCAGGCGAGCCCAGGCGCTCAGTGGCCGAGGACTGCCTCGGAAGGACCCGGCACCCGCAGCTGGAGGCAAAGGAACCTGGAGCCGCTGACTCCCCGCCCGCCCCGCCCCCGGCCGCTTCTGCCCAACGAGGTCCCGAGGCAGAGGAAGCCCCCGCCGCCGCCGCACGAAAGCGGCGCCCCGGAGGATGCTGCTACCCGACTCCCCCTACGCGGAGCGCCTGCAACGCGCCGGCCTCTGCGCGGCTCCTGCCAGCCTCTCCGGGTTGGTGCGCGCCGCCGTCCGTCGCTCCGGCTCCTCCCCTTCGCCTCGCTGCCCTCCTCCTCCTCAGCCTGTCCCACACCCGCCCTCTGCGCAGCTCCTGCCTCCCGCGCACCTCCTTGGGGACTAGAGATGCGACCCGGTTTCCAGCGCTCCGCGAGTCACCGAACTGAACTCGGGCGCCGGGAGCGGGGTGCGGGAGCGAAGCTCGCAGCTCGCCAGCAGCCGGAGACTTGGATTCTAAGTGGCTGCGGGCCTCGGCCCCACTGTCTACTCTGGGAGAGAGTTGGTGATAAAGTTTGGGCAGAAATCCCCCGATGTACCCAGCGGTCTACACCCGTGTTCGACCCCCACCCCCACCCCCAGCGGTCGACCCCGGAGTCCCTTCCCAGGGCTGGAGCCGCATCGCCCAGCCGCGCCGTGAGCCCCAGGAACGCGAGTCCCCGGCTACCGGTCCCCCATCGCCCTTTCCTGGCGTTCTGTGGTTTCTCCCTCAAGGAGGAGGAAGTAATAAATCCTTCCGACCCCGAGGTCACGGAAGACGCTCAAGTTGCCCCGAGTGTGCTGGAGGCGCCTTCTGCTCAAGGTCTGGACACGGACAAGGCCGTTTGGTTTCTGCTACGCCCGGGGCAGATGCTCGCGGCCAGCCGGCCCTGCGCTGCTAGGAGTGGGAGCCAAGTCCTTGGGAATCTGGCTGCTGGGGGAGGGGTTGACGCTTTGTTTTTATTTCCAGCAAATTGTTTGTCCGGCCCTTTGACTTTGGAGCCCAAGAGAGGAAATCAGAGAATTTTATCCCAAAAGAAACCGTTGTTTGAGGTTGAAAGTTACTTTTTAGTTTGATTCCTGTTCGTTTGTGTACTTTTTTTTTTAACTAACGGGAGGAGAGAGAGACACTAAAAACTGTAGCCTCAACTTGATCCATAAAATGGGGACAGCTACGATAGCCCTGGGAGATGGCAGGTCGGTGGACGTTAGAGGGCGCACAAGAAAGACTGAACCCCGTTTCCACCCAGAAGTATTCAAAAGTGGGTAGCTGAGAGTCCGGAAATTCAGCCAAGAGGTAAACATTCGGACTACTGGGAGGCCTTGGTTGCCTCCTCTCCCTTTGAAGTTTTAATAAGTTTGACAGAATTACTACAAAATTATCTTGACACTATTTGGTGCAGCCTCCCTCCACCAGAACACCCTTATAAATTTAATATGTTCTCTTTTTTTCATGTGTATATGTGTATTGCCTGCATGTAGGTAAGTGCACCCGTGTCGTGCAATGCCCTCGGAGGTCAGAAGCTGTCAGATCCCCTGGTACTGGTGTTAGGACAGTTGTTAGCTGCCATGTGGGTGCTGGGATTCGAACCCGGGTCTTCTGCAAGAACAGCCAGTGTTCTTAACCGCTGAACCATCTCTCCAGCCCCAATATATTCTTTTTAAATATATTTTATTTATTATTTTTATTTTATGCATATGAGTGTATTGCCTGCATGTATGTGAGTGCAACCCTGTCGTGCAAGGCCACGAAAGTCAGAAGAGAGCATCGGATTCCCCTGGAAATGGAGTTAAGGACGGTTCCTAGCCGCCATGTGGGTGCTAGAGATGAAACCCAGGTCCTCTGCAAGAGCAGTCAGAGCTCTTAACTGCTGAGCTATCTCTCCAGCCCAATTTAGTGTGTTCTTGATTCCATTTTTCTTCAGGGAATCCTACAGATCTGGGTACAAGGATTCTTGAAAACTGACTTAATTCGCTCGCCCTGTGGTTTTAACTAGTTTGGGATGTTTTGTTTGGGGATGTTTTGTTATGGATTTAGTTTCAGAGTTTTAAAGAAAAATTTAAAATAGCTTGATTTAGGGCAGGTGAGATGGCTCAGTGGATGAACTTAATCCTTGAACCCCATGTGGTGGAAGGAGAGAACTAATTCCTGTAGGTTCTCTCTCTCTCTCTCTCTCTCTCTCTCTCTCTCACACACACACACACACACACAAATAATAATTGAAAAAAAAATTTAATGGTTTGACTTAGTTCCACTTTTCAGAAAAATCCATGTCAGAAGCAGATTTCAGCTGAAGATTTTCCCTTTGGTTCTGATAAACTACACCGATGAGGCATTTCTATAAGAGATTTTCCACAAATTGGGATGAGAGAGGACCAGAACTCACTTTGTTTTCACATTTTAATTTGAGGGGAGGGGCCTCATGCCCCATCATGGGCGTGGAGGTCAGAGGACAGCCTGAGGAAGTTGACTCCATCCACCATGAGGGCCTGTCTCCAGGAATCAAACTCAGGTTGTCAAGCTTGGTGGCAAGGCCCTTTGACCAGTTGAGTCATCCCCCAGGCCCATCAAATTTCATATGTACTTTCCAGAGTATCAAGTCACATGGCATTACCCCTGGGACTTAACCAGGAAGGTCCAAAGCATTAATCCTTGTTTACAAATGAAGCTGGTAGATGTCAAATGAGTTGCCTTCTATCTTTTCTGGGCTCCCCCTGCCTGCCTTCCAGTGTTGCCTCAATATCCCTTCTTCCCTCTGCTCTCCCTTTCTCCTCCAAAAAAAAAAAAAAAAAAACGAAGTGATGTCACATGAAAAAGTTGATGTCGGAAAGAGCACTAAAGAGAAGAGGACAATACAACCATGATCTCCAGCACACTTTCAAGAGAAATCGCTTCTAAGAGTTTGAGATTAGTATCTGGTTTGCGCTTACCCAGAAAGCACTGAATTGCAGTTATTTGAGGTAAGGACCCTTTTAAAAACAATTGTTTGCATAGAAACAATTTTGTTGCAATTGTGTAAGGCTTTCCTGGAGTTGGCAAAATAGTAACTCCATTTGTCAGCCGCCTCCACAGGCTCAGCTGTGATGCTCAGCTGGCATAAATTTGCAGGTTCTGGCATCTCCACTCTCTCCTTGCTTGCAAATATTTTACCATTTTGCGTGGTGTCATGATTAATTCCAAACTTTGTGACAGCTCATGACATCCCGAAACCTGATGATGCCTTCCTTCCTGCGTTTGTTCTAGAATTTCTTTCCTTTTGATCTAGTAATGACCCAGACATATAATAAGTCATATAACAACTTCGTTTGCTGAAACTCCACTCATGCCACAGGGCTGTCCTGATTTTCAAAAGCACATTGTTTAGTTCACTGAAATTTGATCTCTTCTAGATGCCTTATGAGCTTCTTCTCTGCTGCCTCTTGTGTAGAAAGAAAACTATTCCTGGAAACTTGCTGAGGCTTTTTCCTGCTCCTGACAAAGGAGAATCCTAACATTCTGGGGTGTGGAAAGCCCAGGACCCAGCCTAGGGGAAGCAGCAGAGATCTTCAAGTGTCTTCTTCCAGATTCTGAGCTGGGGAAAGATGGGCTGGGCTTCCTGGCTAGTTCCTATGTGTGAACCTGAGGGCCCAGAAGATCCATCGTTAGAACACTGTCCTGGGCACTAAGAGAGGCATTCCGTCCTCCATATTTTCAACAAATACGAATTTCTAGTGGAATTTGAGTATACACAATTAGATTAAAAATCTTTGATTTAAGACATGCTGTTCTCATTAGTTTAAAAGTGACTCTTGTATTTATTATGTATATATGTATATTGTGTGTATGTATATCTATTACATAGACCAAGAACATCCAGTGATAAACACTCCTACTAAATTTAGTTTAGAAATTTAGCTGAAATGGTCAAGTTCCAAGAATAATTTTTTCCTTAACAATCTCAAAAGGAAATAGCCTGAATAGTCCTGGGATTACTAAGGAACTGAAGCAGTCACTTAAAACGTCCCATGAGAAAAACAGCAGGCTCAGAGCGGTTTTAAGAAGGTTCCACTACACATTCAAGGCCTAGATAGCTTCTATCTTATACAAATTCATCCACACAATAGAAAAAGAGGGGACCCCTCCCCCCAGCTCATCCTAAGGGGATATTAACTGGAAGGGGTGAAAAGAAATTAGAGGGGGATGGAGAACGTGTGTACCATAGAAACATCAGTAAAGTAAATCTAATCAAATTGAGGGGAAGGACATTACTCTATAACAAAGTTGAGTTTATCCCAGGAATATAATGTCCACTTCATGACCACTTATTAAGTACCTACAGGATGCCAGGTACTGATCAAGCTCTACAAGATGTAAGGGTGAAACAGATAGGCCTGGTCCCCACCCTCAAGGAATGGGAGACACTGAGTGTACATGCATTTAAATAAGTAAGATTATATTTGAAATGAGTTCTGGGAGCAGCTAATTTATATTGGGGAGGTGATCCCTCCAAAGAATGAGAATGTTGCCGTGGGAAACTGAGGGACGAGAATTACATGCCAGTGACACAGCACACACAGAACCCTGAGTGGGAATGAAGTTGGGTGTGTGTGTGTGTGTGTGCGTGTGTGTATACAT